CCCAGTGTTGTGATCAGATACAATGTATCAATATTCTGAGTATTTCTAATCCTCTCCCCTCCCCGTTTCTTTTCTTTACCTTTACGAAAGATCTATCTCCAAGTTTTCTATTACTTGTCTTTTATTTTGTCCCTTAATTTATTCATACGTTCCTTATCTCAAGTAAGAGAAACTGTGTAAAATTTAAGCTTGTGTGTCTGATTTATTTCCCTTAACATTATGGCCTTAGTGAATAAAAGAAGAATTAAAATGAATGAAAGAAGGAGCTGGGGATTTAGTTCAGTGGTTCGGTGGCCTGCCTTGCAACCACAAGTAACAGAGTTCAATCCCCAGTACCAAAAAATAAAATAAAATAAAATAAATAAAAGAAGAATTAAAATGTGTTCTATAAATTTACTGATACCTCATGATGAATGTAATCATTATATGCTTCAAATATGTATCAATAATTTTTTAAATTAAAAAATAAATAAAATGGGCTGTTTCCAAGATTTAGCTATTACAAACTGGGCCGCAATAAACATGGGTGCATATATTTCTCTGTGATATGATTCTTTTAGTTCTTTTGGAAAGATACCCAGCAGAGGGATGGCTGCGTCAAATGGCATCCCTAAAATGTACCAATAAACTCAATTAAAGCTGAAAAAAAATAAAATGGCAAAATATTCTGAAGATTTTTAAATAATTCTTGTACTTGGCAGCCAATATATAGAACTAAGATTGCTTAACAGTTTTGTTTTGTTTTGTTTTGTTTCTGAACAGGGGCGTTTTGGAGTTTTTCTACTTCTATTGTTTTATATATCATTTATAGTGCTTCAAATTTTTCTAATATTATATTTTCTAAATTCTAGAGGTGAATTTCTTATTTTTATTTTTCTATGTTATTATATAAATATTACAAAACATAAACTTTTATCTAAGTACTGGATTTGCTTTATAAAACAGCTTGGTCCTCTAGCTAGTTTTCAGTTTTATCTTGCATTCTTATGCTGGTATAGGATAGCTTCTGTGTGTACCTGTGAAGTACAAGCTTTAAATATTTTGTCATATTTTATAATAAATTTGGTTTTGTATCATCTTAAGCAATGTTTGAATTGCTCAAGCTAATGATGTGTTCTAATATTTTGTCATTATTATGACTATTGCAAAGATGGAGGAAGATTACTTTCTTTTCAGAGCGAGAAAAATGATCAGGGTGAAATTAGTGAGTAAAAGTTGTGTATGTGCAGATTGTAATCTGATTTCTACTAAGAACTTCAATGTATTTTTAATTTGAATTTACTTTGAACTGATAAATATATACAAATTTACATATGAATGCAGTAATATTCAATTTTATAATGGATGCATGCACTGCATGTTTCCTGAAACATTTATCATTTCTCTGTGGCTAAGACTTTCAATATATTTTCTTCGAACTTTGAAATGTATAGTGTTTTACTGTCATCTATGGGCACTCTAATGTCCAATGACACACCAGAGATTATTCCTTTTATCTAATTTTACTTACTACTCTAACTTAACATATATATTAATCAACCTTTTGCCATTTCTAGCCACCCTTCCCCAATGTGCATAACTTCCCCAAACTTTGGTAACCACTATTTTATTCTCAATTTCCATAAGATCAACGATTTTATATTTTACACATGAATGAAAGCACGGGGTATTTTTGTATTCTAACCATTTTATAATATTAATCTAATGACTTTTTTGCTTTAAATTTAATTGATTGAAAATATTCTATTAAAACATGTTAGCTACTTACTAAGTTTTTGGTTCTGTCTTGTACTTTGTTCCCAGGGAGAGTGGAAATAGCCTCACTCATTTTACGCTTATTACTGCTTCCGTCTCATGAATTCTAATGAAAGAAAGATACTTCAGAATCACTTGAAAAAGGAGATAGATTGTATAATTTAATATAACACATACTGAGGCATAATACAGAATATATGCAACAATCTAGTGTTCTGTTAATCTAACAAAGTAATTACAAAGACTTATCTGAGTAATTTATGATTTATGAGGTATCTGAGTGTTTCAAAGTGGCTTTAAAATTTCTAGCTCTAGTATTTTAAGCCAAAAGGTAATCTCACACACACACACACACACACACACACACAATTTGTAACTTTCATAAACTTGTAAAACCGTATACATCCATGCACATGCACAACATAAATACAAGCACACATATGCACACACAGATATACATGTACATCAGTGCTTACATAAAGTGTGGACTTCAGCTCACTGCGATGATCAACAATTTTATGAGTTGATCAAAAATTTGCCAGAATCTTCTCAACCTAGTAATTCATAATTTAATTCATCACTGATAAGAGAAATATCTTTCCATTGTATGCTTTATAATATTATTCTCTTTTAACCAAAAATTTAGCAATGTGAACCTTGGGGTAATGATCTCACTACAGGTGTCAGAGAGAAAATTAAGCAGTGATCCTAACATATAACATAAATGAAAATCAAAAGGAAGCCTAAAAGAGAAATACAGTTCAGTATTTGAGCAGGATTGTTCTTTCAGCCAGAATGAGTTAGTTTTATTAATATGGTAACTGACACAATCAGAGTTGCACTACCTCATTTATTTAAAAAAATAGGAAAGGTCCTACAGATTTCTGACCTTGCATAAATGATAATCTCATTCACCATTGTGATATATATATATATCACATATATATATATATATATATAAATTCATATAAATACATTCATATAAATATTTCATGTATAACATATATGAAAGTATTGGCAAAATATACTTTCCTTTTAAAAAGACTCCTTTGAATACATTAACTGTACATTTAATATACCTAGTGTGTAATATAAAACTTCTGAACATCTTCGTGCAACAAAGTCAGTTTAAGGGACAGAGAAAACTGTAGTAGCTAGAAAATTTTAAATCCCTCTAGCATGAATTTAAGGACAATTCAAATTAGTTTATAAATCTATAGTTTGATTGCTTAAAGTTGTAATTTCCTACTTAGATTGACTTTGAACAGATTAATAACTGAGGAATGTAATTTGTATGTAGTATTTAGCATAAGTGCTATGCAAATTCTATGGAGACAGAATGGATAATATGATAGAATCAAGGAAGATAAGTTTAATCCCTTACCCCAGTGGATTCCAGAAAAGCATAAATAGAAGTCATAGATCTAGAAGTACATTTCACAAGCTGTAGGCAAAAGCAACATATTTAATGATGTTAATACTAAAAGGGAAATTTTGAAAAGAGGTTAAGAATGTCAAAACACAGCTAGGAAGTTTTCAGCACTGACTTTTCCGCAGCACCGTGGGATAGCTACAATCAAACACTTCAAGTAGATCTAGAATCAGCAGTTGGAAAGAAGTTGCAAAGGTCAAGGAATAGCAGAGAAATGCTCATTGATTAGGTTGATTTGAACAGGGTATGCTTTACGCATATATAGAAATATCACACTGTATCCCATTAGCATGTACAATTGTATGTTGATAAAAACATTAAAAAGTTTAGGAATTTAATGAATTACAGGAGGAAACAAGGAATAAAGTGAAGTTACATAGTGAATATTTTATCTACTTCTTGAGTGTTATGTGATTTCTACTATATTTTATATTCTGATCTTTTATCGAGCAATATTTTTCATCCTTACATATATGTATTATACTTCAAAATGATTATTCTATCATAACTCCATTTTCAACCTGAATATTGCATACACTAGAGCTGTTAAATGAATTTTACCATAATTTATTAACAAAATTACTGAATTCATATGTAGCTGTTTAAGGACTTCTGGGAAATAAAGAAAGAAATTATATCATTAATTCTTGCTTTTTTATCTTTCTGGTAACATATTTAAACCACTTATAAAAGGAGATGTGTGCGTGTTTGTTCTATTTGCTGTTTTTATGTATTTTTATGTATGAATGCATAAATTTAACTACTTGTAGAAAATTGCAGTTGTTTCTGGTCCTGTCATTTTTTTTTTTTGCCCCAAACTTCCTGTTTATTAATGCAAATCTATAAGATGAGATTACTTTCAAATGAAGTTCTCTGGACAGAGATAGTTTCAGAGAACTTCACTGATAGTGTTACCAATATTCTGGTGTAGTACAAAATCACATGACTTCTGGGTATGACTTTACTTGCATCCTGTACAACTCCTACAGTTAAAAATACACAGTATATGTGATCATTTATCCGTAACTCTTTCATGATATCAAGATTTACAAGAATAAAATGTTTTAAAATCTATAAAGTGGTGTGCACCTCATCCATATTTTCTCAAACTATTGTTTAAACATTTACTTAAAATGCTATTTTTAAACCATCCTTCATGTGTCAAGCAGAGGTGTGAGCTCAAGGTGTATAAAAATGCATGGCTTGAAAACTGGTTTTTCAATATTTTCAGAACAAATTTGATTTTAGATTTGATACATTCATAATTCTGTCACATACTTAACATATTTGCTTAAGTATCTTCCCAATGTCCCCGACTACACTCTTAAGTGTTTAATCACATTCCTCTCAATCTCCCTTAACTTGTAATTTTCCTTTTTGTCTGTTATAAATTATTGTATCCTAGCAATGATAAAATTTCTCTAATTATTGGATTTAGTTTTATTGCCTATTTACCTCTATAAGAATTCACCAAGATATATAGGGTCTGGCCAATCGAGAAATATTTGGTGAGTGAGTAAGTAACCATTTTCCTATATTTCAGAATATTTTTTTCAGGCACATAGTGGTGAAATATTCATTTTGGGTTAATAATACAATAAATATTATAGTGGTATCTGTTTAAAATGGATCCCATTACACCATAAGTAAGCATCTGATAGATTTATCTCAAACTTGTGATTTCTTATTTTCTGTATTCTCCAAAATTAAATAGCTTATAAACACTGCGTCCTTTAAAATAAATCAGTTGTGGTTGTGACGAGCGGCTTTGTCGAGTAAGGAGTTGGTGTTCTTCTGGTGGCTCGACGTTTGTGAGACCTTGTGTCGCGGCGTTTTCACACTCGATAACAGGTCAAAATGCAGATCTTTGTGAAGACCCTGACTGGCAAGACCATCACCCTGGAGGTGGAGCCCAGTGATACCATTGAGAATGTGAAGGCCAAGATCCAGGATAAAGAAGGCATCCCTCCTGACCAGCAGAGGCTCATCTTTGCAGGCAAGCAGCTGGACGATGGCCGCACTCTTCCTGACTACAATATTCAGAAAGAGTCTACTCTTCACCTGGTCCTTCATCTGAGGGGTGGCTGTTAGTTCTTCAGTGCACAGTGATGGTGGTACTCTGCATTATAGCCATTGGCCCCAATTTAAGTTTAGAAATTACCAGCTTCAGAAATAGCTGAACCTGTTCAAAATGTTAATAAAGGTTTTGTTGCATGGTAAAAAAAAATAATAATAATAAATAAAATAAAATAAATCAGTTGTATGAAATTCAATATATTACAATGTATGTTTTGCAAAAAGAACAAACCATCACCATTTTGATGATAATTTGCTTTATGCCTAGAGTGTAATTGCCGCCTTGGGATTTATTTTTCTTGAATCCAGCCTTTCCTTGATCAATAGGCTTCTCCTTAGAGGAATCATTAGAACACAAGTTGACATTCATTAGTATTTAGAAGATGAACAACATAATGCATTTTCTTTTTTGTTCAACAATCTGGTATTATTTACTTCAATATGCAAATCTATATCATGGCAACAAATAAATACATGACTGCAGTTCCCTAACTTTCAGATTTAACAACACACAGATGATTCTGTTGGGATTAACTGTATATTACAATGATTCCACACGTTAGTTATAGCATCACTCTGTGAGAACATAAGTATAATTTGTCTGATTCTGAGTTTTGAAATTGGCATTTGGTATTGCTGGAAAAAAATGATTTTACTTGTCCTGACAGAGGCTGCTTTGAGGGGTTTCACTTATGCTTAGACTATTGTAATAATTTATATTTAATTTGCTTAAGTAATTTTTAAAATTTAGCCTAGCCTCTGAATAGGAAAATAATAAAATTGTTCTATATATTAAATCCAAACTTTATTTCTGGTAGTGACAATAAATAATTTCTTTCAATTTGTTAAATATTATAATGGTACAAATAATTTTGGAAAGAATGTTTAGTCAAAGTTTACATGTTCATTAATTAAATATTAATTAATACATATTGGCCTGCACAAATATTAAATAAAACTTTAAAGATTTTGTTTGTTATTTCTTACTTTAAATGTAAACATTTGAGATATACCTATTCAACCTTCCATCAGATTTACATATTGCATTACCAATAAGAGAATTAAAACTTTAAATTTTCTAGCATATGCTCATTTTCCATATACAGGTCTATGAATCTATGTGCCTGTGTGTCACTACACAATACAGAAAACTTCAAAGGCTGAAATAATTCTCTTATGTTTTTCCTTTATATCGAATCTTCTCATTTACTTTTAATCTATGACAAAATCTTCTACTTTCTTAGGTTCTCTATTTCTTACCTTTTCAGAATGCCATAGTTATGGAAATAGGAAGTGGGAAACATTTTGAGATTGAGTTTTTCCCCTTAGCATAATTCATCATAATTCAGGCATGTTGTTTTACAATACATAGTTAATTTATTTTTGTTGTTGAGTGAGAATGTCTCATAATTTATCAATTTATCTACCAAATAGGCATTTAAGTTGCTCTTCCAATGAAGTAACGATGATAAAGGCTTCAATATATATTTCTCTACAGGTTTTTTTGTGATTATGCTTTCATTTGGTTAGAATGTGATTGTTGAGTCACACTGTAAATATGTAGTTTGTAGGAACTGGCTAAACTCTTACCATGGCTATATAATTTGCAGTCCCAGAAGCAATTTCTATTGCTCCATTCCTTGATTTATCTTCAATTTGATTTGTATGTTTAGCTATTCTAGAAGGTTTTTATTTGAATCTCATTAAATTTTAAAAAATTTATTTTCCCTGATATCACCTGCTGTTCAATTTCTTTAAACATACATATTTATAATTAGTGTATCTTCTTTATCAGATATAAATTCATATCATTTACTATATTTTTTATGATTCTTTAGCTTACATTAACCTTTGCTAGTTGTTTAGATGTTCAGTGCATAAATCATTTGTTCTCTATGTAACTTGCAAGTATTTTTCTCAGTTTTAGGTTGATTAATTTTGATAAAATCCATTTTGTGATATTTTTCTTTTAATTAATATGCATTTGATATCATTTCTAAGATCATGGTTTGTTTAAAGATCAGAAATATTTAGCTTATGTCTTCTCCTAAGCATTTTATAATTTATTTTTTAAATCTGTGATGAATTTTGCATCAATTTTTATGTGGTATGACAAAGGTGTGAATTCTGGTCTTACCTGTGTTGCTTCATAACATCTTCCCTCTGTGTGTGTTCCCCAGGTGTCTTCTTTTTATAAAGACACCAGTTGATTATATTTAATGTCCAGACTAAAGATCACACTTTAGTTGACACCCCCTGCAAAAACCTTATCTCCAAATAAGACCATTTTGTGAGCTATTGGTAGTTAGGACTTCAACATTTTTTTAGAGAGAGAATAGTAGTAAGAAGTCATAACTCAAACCACTGCAGATGCTCTAAATCTGTTAATTTTATACAATTATTTTAGGTAATGTAGTTCTATTTGCTTAATCGCAGAAAATTAGTATCAGGGTGCCCACTTTTACAAATAATTCTACGTTTGTAGCACCAGTAGCAATTACAATAAGTCTACATGTCATTTTGGGATATTGGTAAGTATCTTGTGATGTTTTTCAACTCATTATTACTTTTAAGATATTTAAATACATGCCTTGGGATTTCATACATTAACAATCATGTTATCTTATGAATAGGTGCCATTTTATTTATTTCTTTATAATATGAATACCTGTTATTTCTATTTTTTAGCACATTGCAAGTGCTAGAACTTTCAGTATAATAATAAATGAGAGTGATAAGAGAAATCTTCACCTGGTTGTAGAACACCATTTTGTCTTTCCCTAGGTAAAATACTAGCTATAAGTTAGGGGTATATATTTTTTATTAAATTGAGTAAGTTTATTTCTACTATTTACTCTATAGTTGATCAATTTTTACTCAGTGGATATTAAATATTATTAAATATCTTTCTAAAGATACGTGTGTCTTAATGTTAATGCATTCATTTATTGAAGACCCATAATATCTTGCAATAAATTATGTTTGCGGACCACCCCTTAGTCTTTTTTGACTATAAATTATCATTTTTTGTGCATTATATTTGGAGTTGAACCTACTCTTCTTCTTGAAAAATCCTTCGGGGGCAGTTCCTATGTGAGTGACAACATGCTTGAATGAAGTGTGTTTTACTACTTTAATAGTGTCATGAATAAATTTTTCTTCAACATCAGTACCATATATATTTTATAAGAAAACATTCTCTGTATCCCATAAATCATCCTTCTCCTCACTACTTCTAAAGTTTTAATTATCTTGACCTGTCGTGGTGTATCAGAAACAGAGTGGTACGAACAGTTTATTAAAATAGTGATACTTATGGGTGGGTTATTCCAATTACCTAGGACAAAAGTGTGGATCTACTTTCAGATACAGTCAGATAGCCTGCATCTGTGACCTTTACATATACAGAAAATGGTCTGTTTTAGTAAACTCTTACTCCCCTGTTCTCTCTTTTAATTTCATATTACTTTTGTAGTAAATTTCCTCTTTTTAAAGTAGTAACTTTATCATAATTTTTGGTAATTTTAGATATAATGTGTAGTACAAGGATTTTACATATGCTCTCATTACTATGATTTTGATTTTGAATCAGTTTAAGCTTTAAAATCAATTTAGTACAGATAAGAAAAAGGAAAAGGCAACAGTACGAGTCATTGTTTTAAACTAAGTAGTTGGTCTACAACGCATGTGTGTGCTACAAAATGACTGCTTCCCCTACTTTCTAAATTTCTTGAAGAATTTCTTTTGAAGTGCACTCTAAGGACAAAATTCAAAACAAGAAATTCAGTGCTGGGCACGCCTGTAATCCCAGCACTCAGGAGGCTGAGGCAGGAACATCGCTGTGAGTTCGAGACCAGCCTGGGCTACATAGTGAGTTCCAGGTCAGTCTCAACTACACAGTGAGACCCTGTCTAAAAACAAAAAACAAAAAACAAACAAACAAACAAACGAAAAACCCAAGAAATTCTATGAAGTACAATTCATTCTACAAAGCTGATGTATTCTAAAACTCAATAGTTTTCATGATATAAGATGATCTTTTAAAATGATCAGGTTGATAGGTACATTTGACAAAATGTAATAACTACTGTAAAATTACTAAGAGGAAACATCATGAATACGTGGCTGAAATGATGTGCAGGCTTGCTGTTGAAGGCAGATATTAGGTATGGGGAGGGGATGAGAAATAAGGGTGGCATTGAGATTTTGACATTAGGACATTCTGGATTAACAGACCTAGTAGTACCTTTATTAAAACTGTACTCTGCAAAGATGCATACCGAAGACAAACATCAGGCCTACAGAGGGACAGGCTTGAGAAGAGCCTGACTGTATTTTTGTTATGAATGACTATTTTTTCCAAGGCATAGAAAGTTTGCCAATGTAAATTTGGTAGTTTTGTTTTCATGTTAACTCAATATTCAAAGAAAATATAAGGGTCATTTAATCAACTCTTGCACTTGTGTGTAAGTTTAGTTCTATGAAAAAAGGTTCCTATCTTCTAAAGGATGACTCTTATTAAGATGAGAGTAAACAAGATCATAAATACACAATTTCCTTTCTATACAAGTTAAATTACCATCATACAAACAGCATGTACTTTAGCATGAAAGTGTCACTTATAGGTAAACCATGTTTATTTCAAAATATTTCCCTACATTTTTCTCTTTCCATAGCTTGTTTTATGTTAGTCATTTCAGTAGTGATAGAGTTGATTCTTGATTTATGAATGTTTAATTTCCATTCTGTTCTGTCTTCCAGAACAATGTTTAATGTAACACTTTAATATGCATAATGCAGTAATCACATAGTTTAACATTTTGTAGCATAAAATCAAGTGGCACTCCATTTATGCTAAATATATGGATTACTTTCCTAGAATTGTCAGTAAGAAAACTCTTAAAAAGTTCAATACACGGTAAGGGTAGTTCATTGTCAATTTGGAAATTTTTAATATTTGAAATCACGTTGCACTTATAATGAAATTGCATTGTAAAAAGTCAATTTTATGCTGC